GAATATTCAATTTCTTTTGCAATAATTGTATTCACTTAATATTCTTGGAATATGAGCTAAAGAAGGAACGTTCTCGGAAGATTAAAGAAGTGTTTAAATCCAGTGATATTAGGTTTGTCTTACAAGCTCAGGATCAAAACGATTCTGCAATTGCCCAAGTAGTTGACTTGTAAATGGCTGTGAATTAAGCAGATGACGTGTTCAATCAGAAAACGTATTCCAAATGTTTTGTATTGCATGACAATGCATCTTTTCATTATTCAATAACCAGTCGGAGAACTGCTTGTGTTCCGAAAATAAGTATGTGTACTCTCGTCCTGCATGTTCTTCAAATTTGTCTTGTGTTTTTTTTTTCTTTCCCAAAAACTAAAGTTGCCTCTCAAAGGAAAGATTTTTGACACTGAAGAGACAAAAGAGTATGACATCTACTTTTAGAGGCATGTCAAAAACAGATCTCTACAAGCCTTCTCTTCCATTACATGTTGTGCAGTCAGACAAAAAGTTGCATCAGCGTAAATTCTATAATCTATTTTTATTACACTCTGATTACTTTATTAACATACAGTGAATATATACTAAATCTTTTACTTCAGCTTAAGTAATTCGGAATTTTTGACGGAATTGTTGTCGGAACTAGGACTTAGAAGATAAGTCAAATTAAATATTTCGATAACCCAATAAATTCAAGGTCGAAGTTTCAATATTTTATTTTCGGAGGGAGGGGAAATTTTTCAGTTTTGGTCCATTATCCTAAGTATATTTGCTTCGATTCTTTATTTTTCCATAAAAGCGAAAAATTTACGCATGGTATACATATAACGCATAGCTTCAAATTAAAATTTAATAATATACAGAGTGGTTATAATTAAAGTTCCACATTGAAACGGTCATAAAAGGAAAACTACTGGATCAAATGTTATCAAACTTGGTAATCGTGTAAAGGAGGTCATGGGAATTTATTTTCCGCGAAAAAAAGGAAGTTCGAAACCTCACCACCAGGGGGGGAAATGGCGCTGTATGCAATATTGTTAAACGAAATATGGGTCGGAATCTAACTTAACCTTTTGTTACACGGGTTTAATATGTTGTATACCCTTAAGAAACTTTGAAGTAGTAGGCAAATTACCATTTAAAAAGCGTTAAATTCGATAAATAAAAGTCGAGTGCGCCATCCGTGTAAGTGAGAAATTCGTCCGTGAAAACCACGATTTAGCGATTAGAAAATGTGAGATCGCAAATCACTCGCACAAGTGCGTACAATCTGGAAATCGTTTTCTTACAGATCGCTAATTTGTAATTTTTGAAGCCTGAAATCGGCCCTAAAACATGAAGATACTGATTCAAAACGCTTTCAATCGATTTGGGCCAAAGATATCCCTCACGTTATCTATCTAGTTCCATTGCGTTCTCCTATTGCAGACAGCTTATTTCATAACTGAACCATTTTTCTCTGAAGAGCAGTCGACAGCTGGACCACTGTGATTGCAGCTCACTTAGAGTCAAGGTTAAAATGTTTCGTGATACATGAACTGCAGTAACGTGCCATTTTAGATACTACGATTTTTATGCAGGGCTGGGCCCCACCTCACATGTGTTGCACATGTGTACTTAGGCAACATTTCACGAATGAACGTCTTATATCCCGACACTTTCCCTCTTTCCACCAGACCTCAACCTCTGTGACTTTTGGCTATGGAGTTATCTCTAAAGCACTCTTTATGGTGGGTGATAATCTAAACAATTTGGCAGAAATGAACAATGTGATACACTGACATGTCCGTAACATTCCTCTTGATATGCTAAGAGCTGCTGTTGAGAATGCAGTAACAGGATTTAACTTGCTTTCGGAAAATGCTGGACGCTACATTGAACATGCTTTGTAACACGTTTCGGAACTATTAAACACATTTTAAACAGATGTTTTCATGTCTTATTTCATTTAACAATATTGCATACAGTGCCATTTTCCCCCTGGTGGTGAGTTTTTGAACTCTTTTTTTTTTCCCGCGGAAAATAAATTCTCATAACCTCCTTTACATGATTCCCAAGTTTGATAAGATTTGCTCCAGTAGTTTTCCTTTTATGGCCACTTCAAATTGAAACTTTAATTATAAACGTGTAAAAAACCCATGTAAATTAAACTTTAAAAGTTTGACAGTTTGGTTCAAGTCCCAGCTTTAAAAATATATATATAAATATAATCTTTTATATTAATCCTCTTAGAAAGAATGTTTTAAGAAGCTAATTTTTCTCTCGCGTTATAGATTGTATAAAAAAAACATGATCTTTAATATGATTTAGATTGTTTCAGCCGATATAAGAATCGGGTCACTCGGTGGTACAGAATAAACCCTGCTGGACTGTTTTATTTCTTTGTCATTTAGCAAAAATCTTTTAATTAAAATATTTATCCTTTGGACTTCGCTTTAAACTTTATTTATAGTTAAAATGACTAGAAATTGAAAGCTCTCTTCAGCTGAAACGCAATTCATGTAACTTATATTTTAAAAAATTGACAAGAATGCAAAATTTATGGAAGTCTAGCAATCGAAAAATCTTAATTTTCTTGTGTGAGCACTGAAAATAACTGTAGAAGGAAAGAAAATTAGGGAGAAAAGTAAGCAAAAATTTGCAGGGAAATTTGGCTGTCAGACATACCAAGATGTTTCAAAAAGTTGGACGCTTTTGAATATACTTTCAGGATACTTCAAAGAATTTAGGTGTTCAAAGAAAAACACTTGGACGTGTACACCAGCAAATACCATCAATTGAGCTTGTGGTTAACAGAAAAGACAAAAACGATATCATTGCAGATTAAAGTGAAGAGCGACTGGTTTTAAACTATATGGTTGTATAAATTTAAATTACGTTATAGAACATCATATCGTATCATAAATGGAGAATCCCATGATTTTCTCATTCGAATTATTTGAAGATTCAGGAGTTTATCCAGTGATGTATGTGGATGTCACCTAAAGATGTTCTCTTTTTCCTCCTGATGAAACAGCGGCTGAGCGGTAAAGTCGCTGAACGCTGGTAGTTCTGTCCGAGGTCCGAATCCCGCGAACAGGCTAGCTGTATGGGCATTTTCGTGGTTTTCCCCATGTGTAATGTTTATACGAGCCAGTTTCCCTTAGAAAGTCCTCCACGAAAGCATTCCTACCCTTAAGCAGATAGCCCTAGTGTGCTTTGCCATAATTAAATAAACCAAAACCTCTTGAAACCAGTCTTTCTTTTCATCTCATACCTTCAAAATGGTTAGCCTCTAAAGACTGATAAAGGGTCTGACCAAATATTGATGAAATGGATTGAACTGGATTATTAAGTTACGTCAAAGCAGGGCTATCTGCCTAAAAGGAAGGATGCCTTTGTGAAGACCTTTCTAAGGGAAACCAGCTGGCATACACGGTACACATGAGAAAATCCCCGAAAACGCCCATGCAACCAGCCCATTTACCGGGATTCGAACCCTGGAGTGAACTACCAGTGTTCAGCGAATTTACAGCTCGGCCGTTTGTGGGCCTTTATGAAATGGAAGGCGATAACTTTATTTAAAATGATTGTCAGAAATATCAAGATATTTCGAAAAGTTGGATGCTTTTTAATATACTTCCGGAATGCCTAAAGAAAAGAGCAGAAAGAATAAAGAAGTAGAATGCTTGAAGAAAAAGAGAAGAAAAAATAAATTTTTGGGTAAAATTTAGTATTTGTATTTTTTTTAAATTTAAAACTTTTTAATCTTATGATATTTGATTCTTACGATTTCAAAAATAAAATATTTGACTAAAATATGAATAACATTTAAGAAACCAAATGTAGGATAAAATTGTGTAAAGCAATGGGCACAATGATAAAACTGTTTAAAGCAGTGTATGCAAGTCATCCTAAGTTAAAATGTCGGTTATACATCTCTCTTATTTATATATATCTTTTCTGAACGGAACATTGAAAGGCGTGTTAACTGTGCTTTACTGTATTTTCTCTTTTAATATATGCAGTTTTCAAACGCATCGTAGTCTGGGTTACAAAGTATTCCTCCGAAAGAAACGCAATTCAAATAAATAAAATCAAATTCTGGAAAATTTATATTAATAAATATATTTAAAATGCTCAGTTCGAAGGAATAAATAGAAAATTTTAAAGCAATTATCTGAAGGGACAATGCAACACAAACAATTAAAAAAAATTATAAAAATTTAAAAATTACCTAAAATAATAACTATGACATAAAATATATATAAAGAAAACTATTTGAAAAAAAATAAACGCTGCACCTTTATAGGTAAATAGAAATTTTTAAAACAGTTATTCGAAAAATACCATGCAACTTAAACAATTCAAATGAAATTCGAAAAAGAAAAAATTACTTAAAATAATAAGTTATAATTAAAAATATAATATAAAGAATATTATTTGGAAAAAAGGAACGATGGTGACTTTTTTCCCTCTCACGGGAAAGGAAACTAGGTTGCCATATATTAAGAAGTTCGCCAAGTGAACTATTCTTGGCGCAAACTGACAAAAAAGTGCCAACATAAATTTGTGAATTTCTCCGTAAATTTCGCTCCAAATTTTACAAAATTTCATATTTAGGCGTAATTTGAGTCGTAGAATCGAAATATGTAAAAAAATTGGTATGTTATTTCAGAAAAAGTCCGATTTTGTGTCAAAATACCTATGTTAGAATAGTGCTATATATAAATCTAATATATATCCTAAGTCGCGCTTTCGAGACATGAAGAACGCAATTTGAATTTTGTCAATCGGCCCAGTAGATCGGGAGATATAGGACTGCCCCCCCCCTTTTTTTTTTTTTTTTTTTTTTTTTTTGAGCAGTGTACATCTAACTAAATATATTAATATTACTAGTAGTTTACATAAACATTACGGATGTACTAAATACCTGCAGGATAATTTTATAAAATCAAGGTAGTTCACTTTACCTTTCAGCCAGAAAGTATCTCTACATTATAAATATGAAGCGTTCTATTGCAACTTACTTCAGTCTTATACAGCTCATCCATAATATTTCTAATAACCTCATCAATTCCTTGTTGCTTTTGTTCAGGTGTTTCACTCATAAAATGAAGGCACATTTGTTCAATGTTTTTCAGTTTCTGGAAATAGAAATCCCGCTCTTCTTCGACTGTTTCAAGTGACAGCTTCATTTGTGCTACCTAAGTAATTATACAGTTTAAATGCAATAATCCATTCTTATGATTCCTTGAATAAAAAAAGTTCATTTAAAAATTAATAAACTTTAATTATACATAATATGTCTGATCATTTGAAGATTTATTTGTGAAGTTACTTTCCTAATTCCTACAAGTTCACCATAAGCTAGAAATAGTTTTAGCAATATATACTGTATTTTACAGTTTATCATATGCCTTATTTAACAGGGGGGATTTATTACATGGAAAAACACAAATTTTATTTTGTAAACAGCATGGTATTTATTTCCAAAATATAATACTGTTTATCTCATATAATACTGTTTATCTCTCTAATGCCAACTCTTTTACTTGAGTTTTACTATTAAAACACTGCAGATTATTTACTGAACATGATGTTAAGAATACAGAGATGGTTAAAATGAGAGAGAATATTTGCAAATAATAATGTAAATAAATACAGACACCAGTCACTAATGACTTTTAGATCAATGATTCCTGACTTGTGGTACAAGTATCCTCGGAGATGCAGCAGACTCACCAGAGATCACTACTTGTTGAAACTTTATTGTGACTAATTATGACCATAACTGTACAAGCACGTCATCCGTATAAATATTACTGTTAGTTCACACCTGTGCACTCTGATCTTTATAATATTTTTATTTATTTTTCTTCTTATTTTATAATGATATATATATATATGATGTAAGAAATTGATGTGTGGGTAAATATAATTTCTTTAACTATACATTTCTGCACTAATGGAGATTATGTTTGCTGGATAACTATTTGGAAAGTTATGTTTACCTAGACACATCACACTGAAAAATGTATTCTTCAAACATATAAAATGAACAAAGTACTGAGAGGAAAATAAAACAAGGATTTTCTAATATAAGGCATAAGAAGTTTCCCATGTCCTAGTACATCATGCGTGGAGATTATAAAATAATAGTATGAATAAAAAAAGTATTTCAGGTGAGAAACAAGAAGTCATCTCTTAACAATGTGCTTTGCTAAATATTGACAACACAGCATCATATTAAGGAATATAAAGCATTTGTTTGATGACCATTATTAGAAGCCGCCAAACAAAATCAGTTTTTTTATAGCAAAATAGTCAGCAAAATTATAGGGTTGCCACTCAAACAGAACGAAATTCCTTGACCTCCAGTTATGTTTTAAGAAAATCACAATCTAGCCACTTAGTGCACATTGGCTGTGCTGAGGGTAAATTAATTATGGCACAACTTTAAAACACAACACTGCACAATATTTGCATACTAAACCACCATTTTCTTCAGCAATCAATTGTATCACAAAATTAGTTAAGTCTAAATAATTTCCCTTTTTAAATCACATGAAAAGAGTAAATCATACAAGGAGTGATTGTTAGTGTATCTGAAATTTTGTCATATTAAAAGAAAGGGATTTATAGTAAAATGTCAGCACAAATATAATTAGTTAAAAGAATAACTTAAAACTAATTTTGCATGCATAAAAACATACATTTACAAAAGAAGTGAAATGCTTACAATACATTTCATCTACTGGTAATGAACGAAATCAGAAATGAAATTTGATTTTTTCAGTGCAATGCATAAACTTTTAAATACTGAATTTTTTCAATTATGTCATAATTATGTAAAAATTATGACATGAATGACAGCTTTATTGTTTTATAATGTATTGCAAATAAATTCTGGAATGAAAGTTATTGTTTACAAAATGGCAATGAAGCAGCAGTTATAGCTATCATATTAAATAACATATAATTGCCAAACAATCATCCCTGTAATATTAGGATGAGGTTAAAAAAAGTGCTTTTTTTTTAAGTCGAGAGACTTTTGATGAAAATTTTTTAATATAAGCATATACAATACAAATTAAATGTAACTTTTTATTGGAACTGAATATTCAAAAAAAGACATTTAAAATATTTAAACAAAACATTAATAAAAAATTACAGTAAATAATTAACACAAAACTAGATCTGTAGTTTTAGTTCTGAAATTTTCGAGTCAACTGAAGAAACATCTCTGCTCAACCTTTAAAAAGATATATCATACAAGCAAGAATTATTAAATTATCTTCTTCCAATGTGTTATCTTCTCTCAAAATGTTACATAATGAAATTTCTAAAAAATAATGTAATCCTTACTACATATCTAAAGGCAAATAATGAAAGCAATATTTAGTTAGTCATAGAAGTTCAGAATACAAAATAAGTTTCAATTTAATATACTGTGAAACCTCATGTGAAAAATTTCTGGTTAATTTTTGGATTATGGTAACTTGGCGATTTTTTGGTGAAAATTTGGCGACCAACCCTGCTACAGCAACCTGCTAGTTTTTGTTTGGACGCCATTTTGTTTTCACGAAGTAAAGGCATTTTTTTTTTTTTTACTCAACATTTCCAACATTTTTTCCCAACAATCTGCTAGCCGAATTACGCTTATGCTAGAACTTTTATGGAACAAAAGTGCTTAATCATGACGAAGATAAGGTGCGAAATTGGGACAAAGTGCAGAATCGCCCACTGCTTGCCGCGTTTTTAAGAATTGCACATACACGGTATCATCCATGTACTTGTCTACCTATTTTCACTTAAACAAACATCCCCAAATTGCACAAAAATGGCATTGCGCACACTCTTGACTATATCCATGTACACTGCTAAAGTCCTAGCTAGTAACCTTTATCGCCTTACCAAAATGTCGCCAAACTACCTGTTACCATATTCCAAAGATTAGCCAAATTTCTAATTTAAAAAAAATAATTCCATGCATACATAATATTTTAAAACACATTTTATAACTTGACTTACTGTAAAATTTGGCAACGTTCGAATACTACTCAAACCCTGAGAGGAATATCAACGGGGGCGGAACTGGGGAACATTTTATTATTATAAAATACACATTTTATAACTTGACTTACTGTAAAATTTGGCAATGTTCGAATACTACTCAAACCCTGAGAGGAATATCAACGGGGGCGGAACTGGGGAACATTTTATTATTATAAAAGAATTCAATCAATTTAGACCTCATGCCAAAGTATATGCAGCTCTAAAGCATTTTTCACATCCCATACTGGTAGTTTAAAAAACTGCCAAAAATATTTTCAAATGCTTCATCTCTTAATGTTCCTTATGTATACATAGACTCCAACCTTCAGCAAACCTTGTCAGTAGTCAACGCGCGAACGACATTTTTACAACTTTGAAAATCTGCGCGTAGCGTATGTTGTAATTAACCATTCATTAATTTTAAATTAATAATTAATTGTAATCAATTTTATTACATTTAAAATCCATATACATATAAAACTGAATAATTAAAAATATACCTTGTAAATTATATGCACATTTAATTAGAAATTTTCTTTTAACTCCTCAAGCATTCACTAATAAAAAGTACTTTCAAATCACTACTAATCATAGAAAAAATCAGAAGCTATAAATCATATCTTTATTCTGGATATGATTTTCTACAGGGAAATAAAATTTAAATAACCAAGAATGATACATATAAGTATTAAACAAAATACGCATAATTTATGAATGCAAGATTTATATGTAGCATGCTTAGCAAGCTTAAGTTCTGACTTTGAGAATGTTTTTTTATAACACAGTTCTTCATTTGCCTGCATATTTATTTTTTCAATCAAAACTGCTTCAAGAATTTTAAGACCTAAATTTGGTCGAAATTCCGTCTGATTTTTTTTTAACAATAGAAAAAATTCTTTCGCAAGCTGCATTTGAATGAGGTATTATTAAGACAGCATGCATTACAGAAGGCAATACTTTGTATTTAATACACCCATTCATATTTTTTAATTTGGCAATTTCTCCCCATGCTATATCAATATGCAAATCTACAATTTCTTTCAAATCATCTACTTGATACATGGAAAATTCAATTTCTACTTGATTAAGAAGACATTTTTCATCAATAATGGATGGAAAAAGTATTCATCAAGTAAAGAACAGATGAAAATTGAGACTTCAGTTCTCAAATTGATGTCAGCAACTTCAGCATGTTTTAGAAATGGATCACTTCAGTGGAAATTTTATCTATTATATATGAACATGCAGTTACAAAAAAAGCTCGCACAGAATTGAAAAATGATTTCACTTCACCTTTCATTTCAACTTGGCATTTTTTAAATATAGTCTTTTTTCTCCGCACCAATCACTAAATTTTCATTTTCTTTTGTTTACTACACTTCTGAAATGGAATAGATGTTAGAGTAACATCTTTCATTTTCTTTAGAAATTACTGATGGTTTTACGAATCTAACAAATAAATTCATTAAAAGTTCAAAAAGTTCTCTTCTCAATTTATGTATATAAGGAGCTTGTTGTTGTAAATTTAATATTTACTGTTATAAACAAAGGCAAAGTATCGACTTTCACCAGTAAATGTCAACAAGTACATAGTCACTTGGTGGTCGGTGACTGTAAAATTTTTTTTAATGTTTTGCAATCTCTTTCCTTCATTCTCACTGTTATCTGGTTTATCTCCAAAAAAATTTATCACAGCATCCCACTGTTCCAAAATCCTTGTTATAGATTCTAAAAGAGACAACCATCTCGTACTGCAATATTTCAAAATTTTATGAGATTTTGCATTCTGTCCCAAAAATTTGTTGAGCAACTTTGAAGCTATGCTTCTGTTTCGAACTTTTCTCCAAGTAAAAATATATATATCTATTATCAACATTTCAATTTCTGAGCCAATTAATTTTTCAGTAGCTTTTTTTGCAGCTATATGCAAGAGGTGGCACGGACAACCTCGGGTGATTATACTTGGTTGATGCATTTTGAAAAATGATGCTACAACCTTTAAACTTTCCAATCATATTACTAGCATTATCTGAAGAAAATGATAAGCAATTTTTCCATTCTAAACCTTTGTTTTAAAGTTTTCATTTATTATACAATTAAAAATACCTTCTCCTGTATTATTCGTGCATTCTAAAATAGAAATCAATGAAGTAATTATCACTCCCTTTTCTTTACTGTAGTATGTTATAACCAATGGGTACAGTTTGTTATCATTGTTATCATTACTTCCATCAGTACTTAGAGAAAATGATGTACTGCACACTGATTTTATAATATCAGCAACAGTATTTTCTGCAAGCGTTTTCACAATAGCAGCAGTTTTGGTATGACTGCAGCTAAATTTTTTTGCTATGGCAGAATCCGGATACATTGCTTTAAAAAGCTCTTTGGAATGATCCGAAACAGAAAGCGGTAGATTATGTTCAATTAAAAAACGAACAAAATAGCATTCGGCTTTTATAGGATCTGTTTCATCATCTTTTTATTAAGAAATTTGTTATTTCTTTAGATTTTACGGTGCCAAGTTCTATATGCTTTTGAGAAAACACATGCCATTTACAGTCATCTTTTTCGCCATGAGCAACTGAGAAGTCTTTGTTGCATACACTGCAGTGTGCGTGATTCACAGAAATTTCGGACGCTTTAATGCATGGAAATTCTGAAGAATATGAATCTTTAAACTTCTGCTTTGATAATTTTAGCTTCGTTCGAGGCAGCATTATGATTAAAAATCTTTCACCTGATTCACAGTTCACAAGACACACGATAAGCTCTCGCCGTAAACTACACAATGCAGCCGAATGCAGCCTAAACACGCATCAGCGAGGAACCTGGGAGACAGACAATTGGGTGGAACTATTGATAAGTCGTTAACGGTTGGAGTTACTGATCTACGATTGGCTAATTCTTCAAAACTAGGAACGCACTCAACACGTGATATATGATAACACGAGTATTCAGCCAATCATCGGATGAATTAGTTGGTTCCGTTTTGTGTACTGGTTCTCCTGCTCTTGTTTCTGTAAAATCCGTAGTTTTTTCCATACTTTTCGTAGCTCGTAGTTTTTCATGAATTTCTGTAGAAACTACGGAGAATCCGTAGTAGTTGGAGTCTATGTGTATACCATTATCCCGAAAATGAAATAACGGTGTAATTTTCTATTTAATAACACTTCTGGCAGTTTCAACAGATATTTGTCTACCTGCATTTACCAGTAGTGGCGAGAATAATTATTCAAAAATTGAAGGAGAAGATTTCCTGAGTAAAAGGTAGTCACATCTAAAGTTTTAATGATATTCTTTTCTTAGTGTTTTTTTTTTATTGAGTTTGCGAGTGGCAACATATGTAATTTTACCTTTTGTTTACTTTGTGAAAATTAAAGATTTGAATTCCTTTTACTCTCAAAAGATTGTTTTTCTTTAGATTAAATACATTAAATGTTCACTTTCGTGAATTACATGAATGCTGGTAGCATACTTTATTCCCTGTGTTAACAAAATTTTTATAGGAGCCTTGGCAGGGTGAGTAATTCAAAATCCAAAGAATTGCAAAGGTATTAGAGATCGAATGCCTTTTTGAAGGCTCATATGGCTCAGTGATCTGCTTTTACTAAAGCTATCTGTAAATAAGGAAAACTTGAGTATTGAACATGATGTAGATATTTGTGTACTTGAAATTGAATTAAATGTTTTTATTTTGAAAGAACATTTGGAGCACACTCACCAAGATATTTTGGCTGTACTAACAGAAAGTGAATTTGAAAAAGAGTATGAAACTGTCGAAGAGTTTCATGAAAAGTGTTTAAAAATTGAAAAGCTATGATCTATATTTTGAAGTTTTATGTTTTTGAAGAACCATGCTCTAAATGATTCTGTAAAGAACTGTGCTCTGTTAAATGAAGTTCTGTATTCTCAGAGATGAACTACTTTGCATTCTCTGAAGTTCTGAGTTCTACAGACAACTATGTTCTGCATCTTGGAGTTCTATGAATATGCTTCTATTCCCCAATGTTCAACACTATATAAAGAATTATGTTCCATTTCCTGAAATTTTATGCCTTATTCCCAGAAATTCTGTGCTCTGGGTTCTACGAAGAACTATTTCTTTTCTGGGTCATGTTCAATTGCTTTTATCTTACATTAAAGGGCAGAATTTCAGCAGCCTTTGAAAACCATGTGAGAAATGGAGGAACTGACATCAATGAAGAAAGTCCTGGTGGGAAGACTTACCTACCTAATATGAAGAAGCTTTACCTTTTATTTATGCTGTGAAAATTAGATTGGAATTCCTTTTGCTGTAAAGAGATAATTTTTCTTGGGATTAAATACATTAAATGTTCACTTTTCCAAATCACATAAATGCTCTTAGCATATTTTATTCCCTATGTTAACAAGTAGAAATGTTTTACTCAGGAAATCAAACAAATTCACATTTCCTAAAACGAATTTAAAATAGAATTTCCAAAACTGAATCTATCTTAAGAAAACTTCAAAAATTTCATCAATACCTCTCAAAATGTAGGAAACTTTACAGCTGGAAAGAGGAATAATAGCTTCTTTGTAATGTTACACATATCTAAAAACAAGTTTCCACCCAAAATCTATATGCGAGTGTAAAAAAAAAACTGATACACTAGCCTAACATTTTGTAGGTTCTTCGCAGAGGCTTAAACCTGCAGAAACATGGACTTCTTGGATATAAGGGAATATTTTATAGGAAATATTTTCTACACAGCATCAAAATACCACATTTGCTACACAACAGTCCATAATTTTTTTTATTCACAGTACACGATTTCTCTATTACCCACCACACTACATAGCATCTCAGATGTTTCTTTAACTTAGAGATTTGGTAACATAGGTGCTTATGACAAGACTCTAAACTCACATTAATGTTCCTCTAACCATAACATAGCATCTACAGATTTGTATGGCAGTACATTGTTCTGTTTGAACTGCTCAGATCCATCAAAATGAACAGTATGAAGGGATGTAAATCAGAAAGGGTACATATATAAGATATTTCTCTTGGAATCACTTGTAAAAGGGTCAGGGGTCCCATCAAAAACCAAAGAAAACTCCATACCATTATGAAGCCACCACATCCTGTATAATCCCATTTTGATGCAAAATCCAAGGAATCATAGGGCATGCCTACACATACATATACTTCTATCCCCCCTCCGCATAACTAGAACCATTATTGGCTAGGTCACATTACTCATTGTCAGTCACTGGCATCCCACTTGCTGAGCCAAAGTTGCAGAATTCATGAGCATTCATCAGCAGTTTTCTGGATATTGGCTTCAAAATCCTGTATGATGGAAAGAACAGTTCACAGCCTTCCTGTCAATGCTTATTGAGACTAAAACTGGAATTAAAATGTTAATTGAGTTGGTGCTCTACACTTACTATGAGAATCTTTTATTGCTTGTAGCAACTCTTGCTGCAAATTTGCTGGCAACTTTTGTTGGCATTCTCAGTCATGGTACATTCTTGATACGATCATAAGTGAAAATCTAAACTTTGCCTTAACTTCCAACATTTTACGATCCATCTCATGAGCCCAAACTCTTTAACCATGTGAAAAGACAGTCATGAAAATATGTCATTCTCAGAGTGGAAGCAGAAACTTCCACAGACCATCACTGCTTTATATACATACTAGTGGATATAATCTTATAATCTGTGAAGTGCATGAGTAACATTACTACACAGTCTTCATAGGCTCACCGGTACCTTCCATTTTCTACACTCTAGTATATATACTCAAACAGCACATGAGAAAAGGAAATGCTTAGATATTTACCTGAGTTGTAAGTTCTTCAACATTGCTTGAAGACCCAGGCACGGCTTTTGTTTTTGTTGTTGGTCCCCGCTCTAAAAATGTAAATAATTCAATCTAATTATTAATTAACCTTGGAATAAATTGAATAATGATTTTCTTATTTAAAACTGATAAGAAAAAGAATATGCAGTTACACAACCAACACATTACAACATGAATAACTGGTCAAATTTAAATCAAAAATACTCATAAAGCTATACAAAATCATATTCTGAATACTATTAGTATCAGCAATAACAGAACTGGTAATGGACTTGAATAGTTTCATATCACAGATAAATTAATTTTAAAAAATACTTAAAAGTCAAAACTAGAAAATGAGACTAGCTATAAAGTAATAATAGGATAAACAAGTCTTTCTCCACATAACTTAAGATGATTATGATGTACCACATGAAAGTTTGATCAAATCTTGAAGATGAGAAACATCAATTAAAGAATAAAATTACATAGATTAATATAAAATGATAAAAGTTATAAAACTTGCTAAAACCATAATACATAAATGAATTTAAATTGATTAAAATGCATTAAAAATCTACAAAAACATTACATGCACATGTGCTAAAACCATTTTAAAACTATTTTAATCGGCCTGTAAAAATTAACACTCTTTAAAAAGGTCAAGATTTCAATGGGAACATTAACTTCACAAAATCATAAACTAGAAACAGGACACTCAATTGAAATATGGACAATAAAAACAGTGGTATTATGATTCATATAGATTGATGCACTTTTTCCTTTTAAAGGAGCAACAAACTAAAAAATTTATCTTTACAGTTTCCTGTCCACTCCCAGCATATCACTGTGAATTTAAATTCTGTCTGCTTGTTGAACACATTTAGCTCAGAGCTGCCAACATATATTTTCTGTTTAATACCAATTTGGATGTCTGAATAAGGGAAAACATGTTTGACAATTCAACAGTGAATTCCGATTGAAAGCATGCCAGTTCATTACTTTTTATTCCTACATGTTTAAGAATCCAAAGTTAAAGACTATGATAACCATATCTCTCAACATTATCACCAAGGTTTAATAATTCCAAAATAACAGAAGTAAACTGGCGAGTATCTGGATGTCAAGTATTACTTTGGTAATAATAAACCAGATCCAGACTACAGAACTTTGTGAATTTTTCTTCAAATCAAAATGCATAAACAAAGTTACCTGGCAAAATTTTTCAAGCTAATAGAAATTCCAAGAAACTTCAGATGTTTGCCAAATTATGTTCAAATGTTCAACTTCAAGGCAATAAATTCATTATTCAGCCTGTTGACCAGTTTCATACACAGATTTTGAAAGTGATTAAACCCGATTATTACTAAATTTATGACTTATGCAAAATATGTTACCTTCAGTCCTTTAATTCAAATCCTTAATACTTTTAGTGAAAATTAAAAATTTTTTTGCTCCCAATCATGCACAAATGTGTGGTGGCGGTATTATTTTCTAATAGCTAATAACACATATTTGCAATTAACCTATTTAACAGCTAAAAGTTATATCCAAATTTGTTATCAATACCTACAAAATCTTCCAATGCATTTGGAATTTTGCAGTACTTCAAGTCAATGAATAAATATATAAACAGCAAGGATGATTTTCTGTATGAGCTCCAATGTTCTCTATCTTGACATAAATTTACATGCAGCACATGGGAAATTCTGTTTTCAGTGACTAGCCTAATAAACCTGTTCAGAGAGACATATGAAATAGGCCTTTCAGTTCATCTCTGAAAACTATTTTTTATATCGGTTTCATTAGACACCAAGAACTTCCTAGTTCTACAACACATATAACATGCTAGTCTTGAATAGCAGGACATCCAGGGGAATGATTAATGGAGCTGATACTAAATTTTCATAAGTCTCTTTACTTCCTCATTACACACCTCATTCATTTTTCACCGTTCTTAACAAAAATGTCTGTTGTTATTTCATTTGAAGAGCAAAGTCAAAATTTTTAATTTTTTTTTTTTTTCACTTTAACTCTGTTAATACTAGATTTGATACTTTTCAGTGTCTAAGAAACTTGCCATCTTAAAAACTGCAAATATTTTCAGTATGTACGGATATTTATGTTATCAAGCCTGGAAGCTTATCAAAGCATTTTACAGCAAAAAGACACTACAAAACTTTTTAATCATTTACTCACTAATTGGATTATCATCAATTCAGATCAGAAAACCTGTTTTTGTCTCAAATATCTTTTGCCATTAACAGAAATAAGATAACGTAACTATTTAAGATTACAGTATATTATACATGACTTGCCAAACAAGCCAATTTTAAAACAAAATCAGCAAAACAATGGTATCTCAAACTTGACATTGAAAAATCACAATCACTTGACATTGAATACATACTGTAATTCATTTCTAAAACATGCACCTTAATTTAAATATCTCCAACATAAACAAAATCTAAGAAATTAAACAAAATACTAGAATAACCTAGTTCATCATTTTTAGTAAATGTCTATGGTTTATTGATAAAATACTTGTATTACTATTCAAAATTTCAAAATTTTTATTATTTCTGAATATTTAACAATCTCAGAAAATCTGCACTATTAAGGCACACACTGTTTCCCATTACAGTTGTGAGCAGAAAAAAAGTGCACCTTAAATTAAAATTTAGAAAAAAAAAAAAAAAAAAAAAAAGAGAATATTTTATATGATAAAAAGCATATATTGCACTGAAAAAACATAACACTGCAGCAATTAAAATAAATTGTTTTAGACAAACCAAAATTTTTTACATATTCATATATTCACAGACAATACATACTTTGTGGGGTAGGTTTTATCGGCAAATCTCTCTCAGTAACATGAGATTTCCTTTCTACACAAGAAATAAAATTTGCATCAAAGAATTTTTTGAACCACTGTAAGAATTCAAAGTTGTCTTGGAACCGCTTCTTTGCAAGTTTTTCAATAGGCACGGCCTACAGTAAATAACAAAATAATTTTGGAAGACACCAATTGATTCAAGATAAACAATACTAAAATTCCAGCACTGGCCAAAAATCAAAATGTCACAAATACAGTTTTGTAACTGGCAGCATCATTTTTGTACTGTGTAAAAAGTGCATTAGGTTTAGAACTATAACTGTATTTAATACATTTCCGAACATTGGAATTTGTACTTTAAAAAATTTTTTAATTTAAAAGAAAAGGAAATATATTAAAATACATGTACAATTATTCATTAATAGGAAATAAATAAAAGAAAAGTTTTATAGATGATTTTGCATGAAAACAGACTTTTCAGTCCACTGATAGATATTCCAATGGGAATCTCAGATAAGTCATGAAAAAAATCATTAAATTTAAATCTTTCCTGTGAAAATTCTTTAATAATCCTCTTAAATTCTTTAATCCTCTTAAGTAAAATTACAAATTAAATAAAACTGGATAAAAATTTACATCTGCATTCATATAAAATTACACATTCTTTTAGATAAATTTACCAATTTAAATTGTGATGCAGGGTATGCTTCTCAACTGAAAAAGAAACAAAATACCATTAACTTTAAAATCTGTTTTCATATCAAAACCTTATTGATCATAAGGTGTTTCTTAGAAAGTATTATTTAATTACAGCAAAGTAAATAAGACCTGTTTCATTATCCTTTTACAAATATCTTTTTAAACAAAATTCGTACACATTTGCAACACACATCAGAAAAAAAAAAAAAAAAAAAAAAAGAATTAAAACTATCTAATAACATGCTGACAACAAGAAATAAAAACCAGCAAAATATGCAAGTGTTCATGGCTTTAACCACTTGGACATTTGTGGGCAAATTTCTTTTTCGCCAACTATTTCTCTCAGTACCAAAAACCAAGTTAGTCGGTCATTAGATTTGTTATCACTTGTGATATATTACTCTCTTATTTAAAATAATTCTTTTGTTTACTTTATCATCCCAGTGAATGAACATATGAAAATACAATTACTGAAAAAATCTGAGGTTTCAGATTTTAAATTACGTCCAAAGGGGCTTTTTTTCACATTTTGTGTTACCTTTATCTGTTAAATATTATGTTCTTTGCACTTAAACCATAAAATTCAATTTAACAGCAGTATCGGAAAATAATTTTAAAATGAGCATATCTTTAAAATTTCCAATACACAGTTTCAAGCGCTGGAGAAAAAAATATTTTTTCTGTACAATGTTGCCATTGCTCGCTTTGAAATCCTTGATTTTGTTAATCAAGAATTTGTTAAAGTTTTACATAAAAATGAAATCAATAATAAAACAAATTTCAAATTTGGGCTTTCAGATGCCCATACTCGCAGCAAGATTACGTCATTCAAAATTGGACAGCTCTAGGTACTGTTGTTTTATCACAATGCGAGAAACATACATACATTTGTGCAAGATTCTTCATTATTTAATTTCTTCAAATATAATACAGGGCGATAGTATTTGGTGGCAACGATTTGAAAAGTGATACAGCCTTTAAACGTTTTCAACGCAAAACTAAAACAATCGTCCTTCAGGCACAAGGCTAGTTTGGACTAATAAAAAAATTATACAAATCTAGCTAAGAAAGGTAATTTAAATACAACTTTCCATGAGCAAATCCAAAAGACTCCTTTTGTTCCTCTTCATCAGTACTGATTAATTCATGTATTCTCTATGAAAAAGAAGGAAACAATTGTCTGTCGATTGAGGGAAAAATTAGTTCATTGTTGCAAGACTAAAACAATTTTTACAACCAGGAGTGAAAATTCCTTTCATTGAGCAAACACATATGACATACCACTTTTTTTCTTCTACCAGATATTTTTACTTAAAGTGGGAATGCTGAAAAGAGATGCATTTCTCAAACACTAAGTAATCAAAAATTGCAAATCACAATATATTGCTTCAGCTGTACTTGCCCCTAAAACAAATACAACTCTGCACTGAATATAATAATTCTAATAGAATACTTAACATTTACCCTTTACAAAGAATGAATAATTTATTATGCAAAGCAAAGCAATCTGCTTAAATTTCAACAACTGACAAGAAAATATTAACTCAGTGTTTACCTACTGAACCAGAACAAAATAAACAAGAATACCTGTAACGCTAGCCCATATTCCTAAATGCATAGCTGGTTTAAAAAATCTCAAGAAAGCAATTACGAAATTCGAAATACACACAGAAATCGCTTAGGTAAGCTTTTAAGCATTGAATAGCTGTTGTATATTAAGAAAGTTCAGAATAATTACAAAAGATTGGAAACTTCACAATATCCATAACTTAAATGATTTATTAACACAATGGTGATGGGTTGCAGGGTTGTATTCCTTATTTCCACATGGAAATCTGTAGCCCTTTGTTAGTGTGTAAATCAAAAGCCTACATAAAATTCAATTCAATGAAGATTAATCCTGTGATGATGGAAATTTCTACCGACTCCTACAGTACACCCCACAAAAGAGCCCTTATTACAAACTGGGCAGGATATGCCAAAGCTCTTAGCAACACTCAGTACCCTACCAATATACAATCAAGGGATGAGTTTAGATGCTTACACTGAAGAATTGACTGATGAACTCCATGATGCTTTACTAAAAAACAGTAAAACCATGAGAGCAGACAGGAGATATAAGAACAGTGCCATCCGTGAGGTGATCAGAAACAGAAATCATGTATGCAAGCAATAGCAGCGATTCAGATGTCCCACAGACAAAACATTACTGAATCAACTAAACCAATAACTAAACCAACAACAAGTCATGACTCTATTAAAAGAAAATCCACAACTCGACTGGGCCAGACATTTAGAATCACTATCCACAGATGATAATTCACTGTGGAGCACTGTTTCTAAATTTAAAAAATGCAACATTAATATTTCGCCCATTAACGGCCCCAACGGGATCGCCTACACCGATTTTGAGAAAGCTGAGTCTATTGCAGATCACTATGCTTCTCAATTTCGCAATCACAACATTTCCAACCCTCAAACAGAACTCTCAGTTAAGTCCCTCATCACACAATTACAATCAAAAACCCACATAAACAACACACCCTTAATTATGCCATCAGAGGTTATTAGTTATATTGAGAAGATAAAAAAAAAGGAAAAGCCCTCGATTCGATAAGATAAGCAACAAAATGATCAAGGAGATGGGAGTAAAAATGTTATGCAAGTTCACCAAACTCCTGAACGCCATGCTACGACTGCAGTATTTTCCAACCAATTGGAAAACACCTATCATCGCACAGATCCTAAAACCAGGAAAGGATCCCACCCTGGCTACATCGTACAGGCCGATAAGCTTATTATCGACCTTAAGTAAAATAGCTGAAGCTGTTATCCTGAAAAGAGTAAAAGACTTCCTAATAGACAGCAAATCCTCATTCCTATGTTCAGTATGGGTTCAGGAGTAAACATTCCACCACGCACTAACTCTATTGTGTCACTGAAATGATAGCAGAAGGATTCAAGAAAAGACTCATCACAGGAGCTCTCTTCCTCGATATTTCGAAAGCCTTTGACCGTGTGTGGTTACAGGGCCTCACCTACAAATTAATCACTCTGGGTTTCCCAGATTACATCATAAACATCATTAATTCCTATCTTTACGATAGACATTTTATCGTTCGTTATAACAATACTCACTCTACATGAAAAGTAACTTTTGCCGGCTTGCCTCAAGGAAGTTTACTATCGCCCACTTTATTTTCAATTTATACGAACGACATCCCTCACAATCCCCTCACTACACTAGCACTTTATGCAGATGATACTGCGATCCTCTATCAAGACGCGTCCATGGCCGCAGTCATACAAACATTACAAGAACACATCCATGCACTAGAGTCCTGGATGATCAAATGGAAGATTAAAACGAATAAGGAAAAATCTGAAAAAGTGTACTTCACTAAAAAAGGAAATTTTGACCTGAATATCATCCTCAAGAAGTACGACGTCAGCATTTCCTGAGCCAAGCAAGTTAAATACCTCGGTGTCATTTCAGACCAAAGACTCACTTGGACCCCACACATTATATATATTTTGAATAAGTTTCGGGGTACTAGAGCATTACTCAACCCCTTAATTGCCTGAAACTCCGTTCTATCTATCCAAAACAAATTTCATGTATTTTGATCCATGCTGCGACCAATTGTTACTTACGCCTGTCTCGTCTGGGGTTATGTATGTAAAACCAATATGCTTAAAATCCAGCAATGAATATTACTTTAAGAATAATTTCCAACAGTCCCTGGTTTTTCAGAAATAAGGCCATCCATAATTAATTAAACATTGATAGCATCAGCATTTGCATTGCAAAAACATTCTTCAATAACATCGAAAAAGTCAATAAATGCTCCATCCCTAGACTGAACTACGATCACACTGATGATGAAAACAAAAAAAGACCTGGAGTAGTACTCCAGCACTTAATTTAATCGTACCTTGCTATCCCATGTATTTAATTATTTTCCTCATCATTAATTACACTTTTTAATACTATTTTTAGGTTTCTTTAAGACACACATAAGTGTCACCATCTACATTGAACATCATGCACTACTTATTTTATTTTCTCTACCATGCGATATAATATACAAAGTATTCTTTTTTATACATATTTCTCCCAAAATAGTTATTTAGGCCAACCTATATTATCTCAGCACATGCTCCTTTTTTTACCACACATATTTTGTATCAATTTTTACCAGTTATAGCTGTTCTGTAACTTAGAGTTTTCACTAAGTAAGATTTATAATTTAGCCCTGCCCCCAACAAATGCCTGACGAGCAAGACACTCTCTTTCCAAGTCGACCATTGGACCATGTGACCCAGTAGCTCCTCCCAGCTCTTTTTAGACCTTCTCTTCAATTCATTCTACCTTCACTTGAGCGCCGGAAGCCGTAACAGTAGCATGCGACATCTAAGATATGCTTTTCCATACAGTATTGCCGTATTTATTGCATCTTGACATCTCCGGATATGATTCAACTACCTCCTAGATCTGTGTATACGTAAGGCTCATCCATTGCTTATCATGAGAATTTTTTCTCTCAGTAATGAACTACACTATGTTATGCCAGGAAAGATATGCTTTTGCACACAACGTTACACACAGGATGTGGCTTTCCCAGCCTAGGAGCCTGTAGAAGTGCCTAGCACCTGAGCCTTCAATGAAGATTTCTATTTTTTAAAAAGAAAACTAGCATATGAGAATTTTACAAAATTGTCAATGAAATTCATAAACTTTATTTAAACAAGCAATTAAGTTTCTGTTTCTTTTCTTCAAAATACAATACAATAAAGTAATAGTTATTTATTGCATGTTAATTTTATTCTGTAGAGCGCATATTTACAAATTTAATATCATTTGTTTACCTTGTCACATCCAATTTCATTAAATGCCCTTTGAAGAAGTTTCAGATTATGAATATATTCATGCTCTTGATTTGCATGCTGTTTTATCTTCTTCACAGCAATACAGCCTAAAATTAACATTGTATTTTACCTCAGTAATTAAATTACAAATACATACAGAGATAAATCTTTAATGATAAATAAATGAGTTAGAGAAAATATAGAATATAATTCACGTTCCTAAAGACAATTGGCTGTAACAATAACCAAACTGATTCATGCTTACCTCTTCACTGAAGCTTAAAGAACAGTCTTAACCCTTTGTGGCACAGTGTGCCCAGTCTAGGCATACCTAAAATTTCCCTCTGTACACACAGAAAAATTGAATGAAAAAGGATTTACAGGTTACTGTAAGGTTACTCAGAACCTTCTTAATTTTTACTAGATGGCAGCATAACACAACCCAATTCGTATATCACGATAGGGCTTATTTTCGGAGGATGTCTTATTTTCAGAAAAAGACGGTACCATAATTTGCAATATTGAAATTACCATTTAATAAATTTAAGTATACTTGAAATGAAAATGATTTTAATAAGCAGCGGGTACTATATAGTTAACCATAACATAAAAATTAATCAGTTACTTTATATATAGCATAAACACATACTAATGATAAACAGATTCATAATAAAGCATCATTTTAACACTTGAGTGGCACAGCATTTTGAATCTCCTCAGGAAGGCCTATATTTAAACAGCACTTATGAGCTACATAAGCATAATTACTTATTTAAGTTTCAGTTTTCATAAACTTCCATTCATTAAGATGACGTTTACATCATTAAAAGAAGTGAGAAAATGAAATATATTGTAAATTACACTGCGCGACATTAAAAATGCAACACCAAGAAAGAGTCGACAGAAATTTATGCAAATTTTAAGAGTAGACGCACGTCGCTGAGTTATGCGAATGATGTGAAATGCGCAGCTGTCCGACGCACGTGAAGTAAGATATATAAGGGAAGGAACATGCAGAATGGGCAATATTCGTGTCGTTATTTCTGCCAAACAAATTATCGAAGAAAGTTGGTTTTTGTCCCGGAGAATACGTGTAATAGGAGAGAATGGCCAGGCTGCCGTCAACGAAGGCACTTCCAGCAGATAGACGTATTTACAAGGGGTATGGTGATTGGACTGAGAAGGGCAGGTTGGTCCTTATGTCAAATTGCAGCTGATATCCACAGGGATGTGAGCACGAGCATATTTCAGTTTCAGAACAAAGCCAAAAGATGATTAATTAAAAATGAATAATTCTATAAACTGCTGCATAGAGAGAGAATATTAACACATTATAATCTATATGTCAAGTTTTGGTTTTGTAGCTACATGATCTGTTTTGTATACCAAGCAAAATTAACAGAACTTATTATTAGGATTTTGGATGACAACATCAAGTTTGAACAAACATTATACAGATATATTATTATTTATTTAAAAATCTTTTGTTCTAAGAATGATGTTGCTTTAATTAATCTGGCGAGTTGAAAATGTTTTAGATAGAATCATTTTCAAATAGTAAAAGACTGACTATCTAGACTATTTAGAAATGCCTTCCCCCAGATAATTAGGCAAATGAGCCTCATAAAGTCATTATACAGTGCATAAAGGACACAATCACCAAACATTGTGATTTAGCACCAGTAATGTATAAACATGATGTAACACTACAATTAGAAGATTTTCACCTGGGTCTTAATGCAAATTTGATTAATTCTCAATAAACTGGTTTAGTTTTTGTAAAGAAGGATTAAATAAATTGGTGACTGGGAGTTGCCTTCTATCGAATAGCATACTGTGGAACATAGTTTCTACAGCAGACTACAGTGGGGTACTTATGAAGTTATAGACGCCTGAAATTACAGAAAGTATGCATTAAAGGGCCTGCTATGGGCCTTTATTTGAAAAATGGATAAAAATGGCAAAGTAACATGAACAATTGTGGTAAGCAATTTAAGTTTTTTCCACGCTGTATCAATAATTTGTTTTCAAGTTTTCATAGCATTATTAGTTTTGATCACCGATCGTTAAAGGGTTGCAGTCTAAAATATATCTTTGATTATTATCAGTTGCATAAGAGAATTTTCAGAAATGGATTTTAAATGCTGTTATAACATATCTTTGCTTATTATCAATTACACAAGAAAATTTTCACAGTTGGAACAAGGAAATATGGGAAGAAGGAGGGGTGCAGGTGCAGCCAGAATGACTTCAGCACGCGTGGATCACCGCAACCGCCGACGAGCTGTGGCGGCCCCGCAAGTCACTTGTACCGTGATTCCGCAGCATGTGCAAGATACCCTGGATGTTCCCATGGTGACCAGAACCATTTCCCGTCGATTGGTTGAACGCGGCCTGCACTCACGCCATCTGTTAAGAAGACTGCCATTGACCCCACAGCATAGACGCCAACGTTTAGAATGGTGCAGGACTGGAGCTATGTGGAGGACAGAATGGTGAAACGTCGTGTTCTCAGAGGAATCACGCATCTGTTTATCCAGTGACAGTTGCCACATATGTGTGTAGCGTCGACATGGAGACAGGTCTAACCCCGCACTAACTGTGGAACGCCCCATCGCGCGACAACGTGGCATAATGGTTTGGGGCGCTATTGCCTACGATTCCAGGTCACCTCTAGTTCGTATTCAGGGCACTATGACGGCCCAACAATACTTGGATAATGTACTGCGGCCGGTTGCAATCCCCTACGCCTGACCACACAGTGCTCGCATCTGCCAACATGCTCTGCAAGGTATACAGATGCTTCCCTGGCCAACGTACTCTCCTGACCTATCACCAATTGAACATGTGTGGGATGTAATTGGACGCCGTTTGCAGACTCTGCCCCTGCCTCGTTCAGAATACAAACTGTGGCAAATGGTTGAAAGGGAATGGAGAACCATCCCTCAGGACACCATCTGCACTCTTATTGATTCTATGCCGAGACGTATTTCTTTGTGCATCACTGTCCGCAGTGGTCCTACATCCTAATGAGCCGACACCATTCTCACTCTGTATTCTGACTATCATGTTGAAATAAAGATCACTTATTGCTGCTTGCTGTCTCTGTCTTTGTTCCAAATTTCAGCACTTTCTGACCACTCCTTCTTGGTTTTGTATTTTCAATGTCGAGCAGTGTATAAGCTAATATATATAAAAAGTGACTAAAAGTTTCATGACCAAAGAGAGAACATACAACTCAGGGGTTTAAGTAAAAATTTTATCACTTTTTAAATAACAAAAATCTAATAATTGTATTTCTATAATTAATAAGAAAATTATTATGTAAATAATTAACTCATAAAATTTTAACAATTTTTATATTAATAGAATTCTTTTATTTACAGAATTACAGAAACAATAAAATATTTCCAATGGAAAAAATTAGAAAATGTTCAGCTGTATTCGGGACTCACAATCTACCGATTCAAAGAAAATTTATGTAACCATAGCAAGCGATCAAACTAGTTAGATCTACTTCAAAAGTTGGAAAATCATTATTAGAAAATTGGAAATATAACCAAATGCAAACAGATGAGAGATTAGGTTTTTGTTGTTTGTCAGACTTTTGGGAACTTAAGATTATAATAACCCCCTTAAACAGGAAAAAAATATTCTGTGGCCTTGGCTACTAATGTTTAAAATTAATTTATGATTAGGAACAGCATGAATTATAAACAAATAGCTAAGTTTATTGCATTTTATTTTCCAGCTATCGAAATGCGACGCTACGAGCAACATTTTGAAACCAAAATCAAGCAATCATGAATCAGAACTAGTTGCCATTCAGCATAAAGAAATTTAAATATAAATATGAACTACTTGTTGCCATTCAGCATAAAAAAATTTAAATATAAATATGAACTACTTATTGCCATTCAGCATAAAAGAAATATAAACATGAATATTAACAAAATATTAAAGTTAATTTTATAAAATAATTAAACACATGAACAAATATATGAAATAAAAAATAATTATTTCTCATGCAATAACTGGGCCACTACACTACTCCCCCACCAGTAACTAAGTTACCTCACGAAGATGGAGAAGTAGGTAGCAACTAGGATGACAGAAAATCTTCCTGGTGGTACTTCAAACTCACCTAATTTTGTTTTGGTATGCCAACTGATTTTAGCTTTTTGGCAAGGAATGCAGGTTCTTGTCCGTATCTTTTTTTTTTTTTTTTTTTTTTTTTTTTTTTTTCTTTTCACCATATCTTATGTTAGGCCAAATGAATTTTGATGTCATTAATTTCATAGTTGATTTTATTCCTGGATGTGATAAAACATGAATTTGCTGAAAGACGTGTTTTCTGAAAGCTTGAGGAATATACAGCCAAATATGTTTAGTTGATGTATCACACCACAAATATTTCCCCGAAGGTAGAGAACATTGCTTTAAATTCAAGGGTAGTGGTTTGCAAACTCTTCAGTACTTCATCTTGAGTTTTTTCATCAGCTATTTTATCATAATCTATCGATGAAATTTCATGAACTCTGGATAATGTATCCGCCACAATATTATTCTCACCTTTTACATATTTGATATTAGTCGAAAACTGAGAGATGTATTGAAGTTGACGAGCCTGTCTAGGTGCTGCTTTGTCAAGTTTTTGATGAAAGGCAAATATTAAGGGCTTGTGATCTGTATAAATTGTAAATACTCTTCCTTCTAGATAATGCTTAAAGTGTCTAACTGAAAGATATATGCTTAATAGTTCTCTATCATAGGTGCTATATTTTTGCTGAGTATCATTTAATTTTTTAGAAAAAAATGCTATTGGCTTCCACGAGGAGTTTGTTGCAACACTAAAATCAATCGCCGTATCTGAAGCATCCGTAAATAACGCCAGAGGTAGTTCAGAATTGGGAAAAGACAACAGTGTCGTGTTCACCAGATCATTCTTGCACTTTTCAAACTGTTTTGTCAGCTTCTTCAGTCCATTCGATTTTACGTTTGTCCCTCTTTTTAGCTCCCTTAAGATACGCATGTAACAATGCTTGATTCTTCGCTGCATCTTTTATATAACGACGATAAAAGTTAAGTATTCCAAGAAAAGTTCTAAGTTCATGAATTGTTTCTGGTCGTTTGTAGTTAGTAATAGCTTGAACTCTTTCTGGCAAAGGACGGGAACCCTTAGGTGTAATTAGGTAGCCTAGAAACTCGATTTGTGGAACAGCAAATACAGATTTTGAAACATTAATTCTTAACCCAAATGTATGTAATCTTTCGAAAACTAATTTAAGGTGATTTTCGTGTTCTTCATGGGTACTGGATGCAATGAGTATATCGTCTAAATAGGGAAAAACGAATTCTAATCCTCTAAAGACTTCGTGAATAAATCTTTGGAACGTTGCAGGAGCATTTTTTAAACCGAAACTCATTACATTAAATTCGTATAAACCGAAAGGAGTGATGATAGCCGTTTTACATTTGTCTTCTTCTGCAATGGGAATTTGAAAATAAGCTTTGAATAAATCAATTTTAGAAAAAAAATTTGTACCTCTTAAAATGATGATGAAAATCTTCAATGCGAGGAATTGGGTATCGATCAGGTATCGTTCTGCGCATTCAATCGTCGGTAGTCCCCGCAAGGACGATATGAACCATCCTTTTTCGTAACAAGGTGCAAGGGGCTTGACCACTGGGAGTTTGATGGACGAATTATTCCATTGTCAAGCATAAATTTAAATTCCTCTTTAGCTATAGCTAAGCGTTTTGGATCGAGCTGTCGTGCCTTTGAATAAACGGGTTGACCATCAGTCGTAATAAAATGTGTAACACCATGTTTAATTTGTGTAGGAAAAAGGTTAGGTTTAGAAATTTCGGGATATTTCGACAGTAAATCGAAAATTTTTATGGATTTATTTAATGTGGTTACTGAGTAATCACTGGAAATAGCAGCGACATCACACTGGACACAAAGCTGTGTTACGCCATCAATTAATTTTTTCTTATTTATATCGATAAGCAATTTATATTTGTGAAGAAAGTCAGCTCCTAAAATACCTTTTGTGACATCAGCAATTATGAATGGAAACTGAAAATCACGACGTAATCCCAAATCAAGAGTTAGCGTTTTTATTCCATAAGTGGAAATATCTGTGCCATTAGCTGCATACAGTTTGTATTCAGTTTTACATTTATTCTGTGAAGTAGTAGCAGGAATTATGCTTACGTCAGCTCCGCTATCAATAAGAAAGTGCAAATTTGATCTTCGGTCACGAACGAATAAACGAAATTTGCGACAATCCTTCATATTTTCTGCAGAAGCGTTTGCCGCTGAACCTACTGCAGATTCGAGTTTTCCTGGTTTTTGGAATCGTTGTTTACCCAAGCACACGGAGGCTGGCATTTCTCTGGAATACATTTTGCTCCAAATCGAAAAGTGATAGAAACAAAATTTGCCAGTAGGGTCATATCGTTTACGAGATCGGCTTCGAGATCGTGAACGTGAATTACGTAAATCCGAGTCCCTGCGTCTTGAGCGAATGGTTATTTGATCAATTTTTTGTTCAAGAAAGGTAATTCTTTGCAACAAATCATTTTCCGGAACGGAAGGAGCATTAGCACTAAATACTTCTGGTTTCCGATTCATATCACTAATTTTATCTGCCATAGACGCTAACTTGGTTACATCTTCATCACTTATATTTTTATTGAGTCAGGTAGCTTCTCCAGCCATAAAGTTTTGATTAGATTTTCAGACACATCTGTAGTAGCAACTGATCTCAACTTCTGCAAAAGTTGGCTTGGTTTCATGTCTCCAAGTTCGATACCAGTAATCAAACGTTTAATCCATACATTTTCACTTTGTTTGAATAAATGTAATAACCTAATTTTAGCATCCGAATATTTTGTGGCACTATCGTTCGTTACAATGTCCCAAATATTTTCGACGAACTTAGGTTCAAGCTGTGAAACTAAATAATTAAATTTCGTTTCTTCTGAAACGATATTACTAATTTTGAACTGAGCTTCAACTTGAAAAAACCATATTTTCGGTTTATCAGTCCAAAAAGGAGGTATTTTTACACTCACCTTATGAAGCTCCGGTGACTGCATCGTATCTTTCATAGCAGTTTCAGAAGAGTCATTTGTTGACATTTCGAAAATTAATCAGGGTCACCACGATGTGGCCTTGGCTACTAATGTTTAAAATTAATTTATGATTAGGAACAGCATGAATTATAAACAAATAGCTAAGTTTATTGCATTTTATTTTCCAGCTATCGAAATGCGACGCTACGAGCAACGTTTTGAAACCAAAACCTAGCAATCATGAATCAGAACTAGTTGCCATTCAGCATAAAGAAATTTAAATATAAATATGAACTACTTATTGCCATTCAGCATAAAAGAAATATAAATATGAATATTAACAAAATATTAAAGTTAATTTTATAAAATAATTAAACACATGAACAAATATATGAAATAAAAAATAATTATTTCTCATGCAATAACTGGGCCACTACAATTCTAGTAGATTTAGTTAATGTTAACAAAAGAGGTAAAAAAATACACTGCAGACATGAATCCGACATGCCAGAGAAATATTTCCCTATGTAGATGGACTGCCGCAGACTTGCAGATACTTATTCGGAGTTATGTTTCCTTGTGTAGACTGACTGCCACAGAAGCTGTGAACTTCCAGATACTTGTTTGGAGATATTTCCTTGAGTAGATGGAGCTTAAGAGGTCCAAGATAACTCTAAGTCCCATCTACACGAGAAGACATGTCTGCGAACAAGTACCTCTAAAAGCAATCTGCAGCACCTGCACCAAAATCATGATCATTGTGCATGATAGGACAGATGTCACCAGAGATATATTTGACAATAGCCAGTGAAATTGTAAATGGAAATCATGTGCCCAGAAAACAATGACAGCTACTCTTAGCATTTAGCTTACTGAATAACATGACATGAATCATTTGGAGTTCTTGTTACTATTATAACAAATTCAATTTATGATGCAATAGTTCTTTCAAATCATGATTTCTAATCGATTTTGTTATAAACAGAATATTTTTCACCTTGATACAAGTGATTTGCTATTGTAAGCTATAGAGTGATGTACTTTTTTACCTCATTTGTTAGTATTTACAAAACTGCTAGAACATTTTTACCTTTTTAAGAGGATTACTGTATTCTTATATTCCCAGAAATCTAACAAAAGAGAAAAGCTTAATTTATCATCTGATCACATCTCCAATTTTCTATTGTTAATAATTTTTCAGTTTTTTTAACTAGGTCTAAATAGCTCGATCACTAGATGCATTTACCAAAGTGTTTAAATTTTCTATTAACCAGTAGACTACGAGTTCGAATTCATCTGGGTTATTTTCCGATTTTTTCTACCGAAAATAAGTGTATTTTTGGTAGATTTTTATTATTTCTGTAATTTTATCATTAACAAAGTCCTTTTAATGTAAAAAGTATAAAGGCGTTTATATGTAACCTATAATAATTTTGTCATTCTATTATTATACATAAACTTTTATATCAATTATTTACATAATTTATTATTTCTTATATAATTAGATTTTTATATGTGCATTTCATTTCACAATTATTTGCTTTCCTTTCCTGCTTCGTTAATTTTAATTTTTTTTTTAATTTACAGTCTCTCTCTCTCTTTTTTTTTTTTTTTTTTTTTTTTTTTTTTTTTTTAATTTTATTTTACTGACATTTGAAATCACTATTACTATCTGCCTGCTATTAAGACTTCTGGTAAGTATTACTTCACAACATATTCTACAAAAAAAGAGCCCTGAAAAATAAAGGCATTGAAGACTTTGCAAACTATTATGTCAGTTGTGAGATCGATGAAGGTCTACTACTAAAAACAAATCATGTCACCTGCTTTGATTACTCTGATTGGCCCAGTAGCTCAGAGGAATTTAGATAGAAAATCTCCCAGTGTAGATGAATAACTGCCAGGAGAAATGTCTGTGAGGGGAACTTGTCTAGAGATATGTCTCCTCATGTAGATGGGGCTTTATAAACAAAATATTTAAACTAATACAAATAACAGAACTGCTCAGATCATGAGAAAATGTATCCATAATCCATTTACCAAAAAATCTCATTATGCATTTAAACAAACCTTAAACAGAATATAAAGCAAATATTTAATAATTTAGCATGCACTTAAACAATCTTGGACGTTCCAAGATAAACTCAACCTAAAGCAAGTGAAATGTTCTATGTCTGGTTCAGTTTATTTTGGGCAACCTGATATTAATTCCTAAAAACATCTAAAAAAGGGAAATAGACTGACTAGTTGCACAAATAAAACACAAATTCGTCTTACAAACAAAAGAAAACTAAAAATGTAATATATCTATAAATATTTTTTAAGAGGAAAATAGTTTCAGTATTTTAACTTATTAATCCAAATCCTAAGATCCTTTATTTTCACATTCAAAAGATGGAACATGTGCTAACAAAATTTTTACTTACCCGGAAACAGGATGTTTAGAAACTCGCAATATTCCAAACCTAAGATACCAGAGTAAAATTATCAAATATCAATCAAAATCAAATTTCAATTACTAATATTTTTAAAAAATACTTTTTAGATATTGCTGCACGGGTCATTTCTTGAACAACCACGTGTCCTAAAATAAAAGTTATTACCAAACAACGTTATCAACTTTCCCTTCTTCTTACCTAGCAGAAAAGGCTTTAGTCAAGTTGACTACGAAAATTAGAAACAGGTTCAACAATGAAGTGATTAATAATTAAGTTAAGAAACTGAAGTGATTTAATAATTAAGTTAAGCAATTTTATACCGAGTATTAAAACATTTCTATCAAGTGCAGCCTATGCAACAAACACGGCAATGACATTAATTAAAAGCAGTCGTGCACTAGAATCTGTGAATTTATTTCTGTAAACTTGTTTATATTTGTAAATTTAAAAATAATAACAAAAAAGTAAAAATTCTGTAATAGTCATGCATTGATTTAAGATGAAAGTAATAAATAATGATTTGACAGGTTGGCCTCGGATATAAATTATTTGGTAGGTATAATATCAATGTTGTTTTAATGTAGAATGTTTCGTTTTGAGATGTATGTCTAAAAGGTATTTCTGCCGCCTTCCTAGCGTGCCTTCGTGGTGTAGTGGTTCTGCACGCTGGGCCGGTATTCCAGAGGTCTGTGGTTCGATTCCCGGCGAAGGCGTTTCCTAATTTTTCATCTCTCCAGCTTTTCTAATTAACATAATGTCTCTACATGTAAAGTAAAAAGGCATCCACAGAGCCAAATTATTGATCATATAAATTCATGCTAATAAATATTTGTTTCTTCAATATGGAAATATTTTATTTAGTGCTGAAATGAAATTTGGAATCGTGACTCTCCACATTTTATTGTGAAAAAATACCAAATGTGCAAGCGCAAAGAATACAAAAAAATTTTCTTCAGAGAAAAAAAAAGTTTCTGGTGATATGGAGGTTTGGATTTTAGATCATTCCGGGTATTGGACATCTGGTTTTCAGACTTTTGTATTTTTGTACTGTATTAGAATTATCTACCTTGGAAAGAAACAGCTCCTAGGATGAACCTGGGCAGCTGTTAAAGTATGCAAAAACCATCTATTTTCATGAAGGACACTATTTTAAAATGTCATATTGGACATTAACAAGACAAATTTCTTTCAGTAATAAACTGTCCCATCAGGAATCAAATTCAATGTGAAACTTCTAATAAAAAATGGCAGTGGCATATCTAGAACTTAATTTCAGGGAGGGAGGAGCAGTCACCATCAAAAGGTTTAAACAACATTGCCCAGTTTTTCTTATTTATAATTTGAATTTAAAATAAAAATCATATACAGTCAAAAGTCTTTAATCCGGACCTCAAAAGCTACAAACTTTCTGTGCATGCGCTAACGCATGTGCATATGCATTTAGGCATGCGCGTTTAATGTATAAAGGACGGTATAAGCTAAGCTAAAATTATCTAATTATCTATTTCAGTTGCAGATTACGTTGTTCCTTAATCTTCAAATTGGATCTGGCTTATTATTTTTTGCAGACTGTTAGAGCAATTTTATAAAAGTAAGCTTGAACTTTCGATTATGTCAAAAAGAATTTCCGATTCTGGAGCTGCCTACAAAGCGAAATACCGAATTTTCTGATCTACAAGGCGAAAGCATGTTTCGATGTCCATCAAGCAAAAAAGTGGAATTGTTGCAAAAAATGGATAAAGGCATATCCTTTGTTTCTCTAACCTTTTTGAAATCTGTTTATCAATTTCACGCTGCTCTGCAGGGTGCGGAGAAACGTCGCGGCGCGCAGTGAACTGGAAGTTGATCTGTCAGCACTTTCCTTATCTTCAGAGCAGATGTTTTTATTTTATTTGGCTTATAATTCCTAACTAAATGTAGTATTTCATCTCGATATACTCCGTCTTTGATATGATTTAAATCAAATTCCTCGTCATTATAAATATCACGAATACACATCAAATAGTTTTCTAGTTGCAATTTTCTAATTTCGACTATGCGTAATATATGCTTTACACATGCGCACGTTGAAGGAAATGTTTAATAAAGTAAACAAATAAATATTAAGCTTTTTTTTTTTATTTTGATACCCTTTAAGATCATAATTGCTCTTTATTTCAGAAATTACGGTTTCATATTTTTAATTTTATAATTTCTGCATGCCATCTTATCAGATTTAAACTGATGATCTATAATCCGGAAAAACCGATAATCCGGAATCGCCGAAGTCCCGACAAGTCCGGATTAAAGACTTCTGACTGTACAGTAAAAAGTCTGTGATCTGGATATTAGAACATCAGTTTAAATCTAGTAAAATTACACGTAGAAATTATAAAATTAAAAATATGAAATCATGATTTATGAAATAATGAAGCATTTATGATCTAAAAGGTATCAAAATTTACAAAAAAAAGCTTAATACATATTTACTTTACTAAAGATTTCTTTCAATGCAAAGTTGCTCGAGTTGCCTTTTTTTTTTTTTTTTTTTTTTTTTTTTTGTGCTAATACTTCCTCTTTAAGTCTGTAGACAGACATAATTTCTTGTTCAGTTACAAAGTTCCATTGTTCAAGTCCAGTAATTGATGTGTTGTGAATTCTGACTAACTAGCGAATGAATTTTTTTTTTAATTTTCAATAACCTCTCTGTCATTTTCTTCACTGTGACTAGTGGTATTTTCTGGATCTAGAACCATACTACAGCTATTGTTGTCCATTAATTCATTGGTGATTGAGTCATTGCAATGAAAAACTTGTGTTATATTATCTTCATTTATTACCACTTCTCCACATTTCTTTACAAAAATCCATTAACTGGAAAATTTTGCTTTTGGTTTGCAATACGCGAAAAACCTTCAGATTTGTGACTATCACCTTCATCATCCTCACCACGAAATATGGTAGCTGGCCATAAATTATGCGAAGCAATTTTTAAAGTATCTGGAGACGCATCCTCCCACGATCTTGTAATGCTCCATACAGCAACTTTTATGCTAAAATATTTCAAAAATTCTAGAATAGTCTTGCCGTATTCAAGAAATTTAACATGAATTTTAAAAATGCTACTTTATATTTGTACTTTAGCACACATGCACTATTTTGATATCCATAGGCTGAATGATGGACGTGCAATTGGGAGGAAAGAATAATAAGGATACATTATCTTTCAGTAAAATTTTAAGCGTAGTATGAATGGAACAGTTGTCTACAATCAGGACAATCTTTGTGTCATCAGGTAAACCAGCTGAATTCGAATTGCTGCCGAGCCTCGGATATGAAATGATTTTCAAACCAATGATTCATTAACACTTGTGTCATCCACGCTCTTTTACTTGCGCGACATATAACGGGGAAAATTCTAACTCCTTTAAATACTGGAGATTGTGCATTTTTTTGATTTCGGAAAGTTTACAATTGTACGTTCCTACAGCATTTGTACATGCTAAAATGTTAGTCTTGCTTTCAAATCTTTGACACCAGTTGCAGCCTTTTCTGTAGAGGATGCCAAGGTATTTTATGGTACATATTATCAGAAAAGCCCAGTTTCATCAGTGTTATAAATTTGTTCTGGAGATAAAAAAGTTCAACGAATCCATCTGCAAATAGCTTCAGTATCAGCTGAAGATTTTTCACGTGAAATATTTAATTGCTTTATACAATGGCAAATTTTAAATTTAGTTAACCAGTCTGTCGAATATGTGTACTCAGTTTTTAAGTTCATTTCGTCATGAAATATTTTGGCTTAAGCCATTAGCATTGGACCCATTAATGGCACGCCCTTGCTATGACGCTGTCTGGCCTACTCATGATGACTCTCACTTTTAACATAACAAAGAATTTTTCTGTCATTCATTGGAAAAAGGGTGTTGAAATCCACAAAAATTCAAATGATTCTTTTTTCTGTTTTCTTATGTCATATAGAGTTGACTTTCGAATGCCATACTCCTCGCATAATTTTGAGACTAATATACCTTTATTCATTTTTTGCAGCAATTCCACTTTTTGTTTAATGGACACTGAAACATGCTTTCACTTTGTAGATCCTGTGCGGCTCTAGAATTTAAACTCTTTATGAAATAATCGAAAGTTCAAACTTCAGTTTTCATAACATTATTGCAATAATAACAACCTGCAAAAAAATAAGCTGGATCAAATCAGAAAGTTAAGGAACAGAGCAATCTGCTATATTACCTGAAATGCCTTGGAATCAGTAAAGTATAATTTTAGCCTAGCTTAATAGTGTCTGCTATACATTAATGGCTATGTATCATGAGACTGATTACGAAAGACAAGTTGTTCTGCTAAATCTTGTCTTGCATCTATTGTGCACCAAGACAAGTAATCCTGACCTGTATTAGTTTAGTTATTTATTATACTTACATCTATTTCTTGCACATACTTAAGGCTTATTTGAGTCCTGAATAAATAAATTCCCACATATACTTAAGGGTTATCAAGGCCAGATATCATACCGCCTGATGCAGTCTCTGCGGGTCCTAACTCTGCTACTACGCGCATCCCTAAGTTCTAAATTTTTGCCGCCTTTAAATTTTGGGTCCCAGTGCTTTCCCTAAATTTTTAAAATTTTGTCATCCGTTAATTTTGTTGCTCAGTGCTTCTCTAAATTCAAAAATTTTTTCCTTATGGAAAGAAATTTTTGTTAAATCATTCCTCGTTAACATTTCTTAGCATATTTAACTTAAATCTGATTAATTACTCAAGTTGTCGAGTGTTGATAAACATGCGGTGATGAAAGCAAAATATAATAAGTAATAATTTGCCAGGTTGGTGTCGGATATGTAAAATATTAGTAGGTGTAAAATCAACGACATTTAAGCTTGAGATGTATGCCGAGCAGAAAGCAGCTACAGAGCCAAATTATTAATCGCACAAATTTATGCTAAAATGATTGTTCCTTTAATAATGATATATTTTATTTTAGTGCTGAAGTGACAATCAAGCCTCTCCACATTTTTTATTATGGGAGG